TGTAGAATTAGTGTTAATTTCACTTACGTTGTTTAATGTCATGCTAAGACTTCATATAAAATCACGCCTAAAAGAAAGATGAGACACTAAATTAGAATCTCAATGAGGTAAAAGAAGAAATGAAAACATTGGATGTTTCTGGATAAACTGATAACAGATTGTTGGAAATAAATGACTTCAAGATATATAAAACTACCCATATGATAAGCCATATTGTTTTTGTGTATCCTATAGAACGGTAGAGGGTTCTTCATTATTAAGACGGTAAGGTTTGAGACTTTTTTGATAGATTAACATTTCTTAGCCATACATGTTTGTTTGGATATAAGCATTAATTAATCTAATTCTGTTTAAATTTCTTCTCTATCTGTTCATGAAAAATCTTCCTAACTTCCTCCATCAAGTACTTCTCCTATTTGTCCCCAAAGTACAACATGTTACACAACTTTAGTTATTTCGTAGTGTAATTTTTTTTTATTGTTTATCCATCTAAGACCGCATATGATATTATCTTATATTTATTCTTGGTGTAACATTTGTTGTTATCAACACCAAAATATTTTGCAATAAGAGATCCACCCTCATGTTTGGTTCAACCTTGATACAAGGTCTACCATCACTTCGAGTCAAATTTCCCAATGGAATCGAATTACCAAAATTAGGATACTTAGGAACATGTTTAAGTTTTTCATAACATGCATTCTTGATTTTCGTCGAGAAATGGTTCATAATCTATAATAATAAAAACTAAACAATTGACTCACATCATAAAGAAATGGAAAGAAAAACTTGAGAGTTAGAAAAAAAAATGTAATAAACAAATTTAAAGGAAATTAGATACAACGTTTGATTAAACATAAATCAAAGCAACATTAAGCATTCCAAAATAAAACTATTAACATATATTACAAACAGGGCCGGCCCTGGGGTCTGCGAGATGAAACATGGGTGGCCCCCAAATTTTTCAAGTTAATTAATATTATAAAAAAACTTTCAATTTAATCAGTTTTGTAATAAAAGGTTCCCAAATCTTTAAAGTGTTAACATTTGATATAGCTTTTAAAGATTTATCTACAAAATCCCTATTTTGTTTTCTTTGCTTTAGGCCCCTAAAGTTCAACAAGTAGAAAACGACCTCATAATCCATGAGACATGCTTTTAAATTTGACTTATAAAACCAAACTTCAACTAGTAAGTTTTAACTTTTGCATGCAAGATACTCATCAAGGTTTGTTAAAATAAAAAGAGAATAGGAAAATAAGATGGTTTTGGAAGATAATATAGTATCAGGGCCGTGCCTTAGGCATGAAAAAATAGACAATTGCCTAGGGCCCCCACTTGGCATCAATAATTTTAGGCCCCAAATTTTACATAATTTATAATTTAATTGATAA